ATTTTCCACCTGCCGTGAGAAAAAAATATTTTGCACGGGAAAAACGAAACCCTAAACATCACACCAAGTGCATATTGCGCATATTGTGCATATTGAAGGAAGGATTCGAATCCTGTGTTGGTCGGATTCGGATTCGTCCGAATCCGGATTCGAGCAGATCCGAATCCTGAAACGCCGGACTCGTAGTAGGATTCGAATGTATCGAATCCGCCAAATTTAGGATTCGAATCCGGATTCGGATTCGAGATTCGAATCTGAATCCGAATCCGGATTCGTGCGGAGCACTAGTGCAAATAGTGACAATTTAATCGACGTGGAAACGGATTTCTCATATTTTCAGGTCATCAGGTCTCATAATTCTTATACACCGCTGCGAAACTTCCGTCTTAGTCAATCAATATTTTCAACAATGGAGGAAACTACACTGAAAGAATACCTTAAAGGATTTGGTGATCGAGACACGGAGAAATCCGCGCGATCCAAAATAATTTTTCTAAACTTGGTGGCGTCCATATACTGGGTAGATAAGTGCGATGACTTGATTTCCCATTCTAACATATCATTCAGTCAAGAATTTGTTTTTGGGTATGTTCATGCCATTCAAAATTTGCTATGCCTCGACTGGCATGTCAGGCTTTTGGGCACCGTGAAGCTAATTCTATTCGAGGATAGTGCTCCGTTACATCAATTCGTGCCATGTTTGACATGTGATTTTATAAATTTCCGAAAGGCATACACATTGATAGGCTTGCGTCAAGCTTGGGACGCTCAGAATAGGGACCTTCACAAATACCTAATTTTTCTGAAAATTCCAGTACAAGGAAAGTGCTCTCTAATCCAACGTGGACTGGAAAATTTGCGAGACTTCTCCTTCTATCCGGTGGCGGTAATTGCAAAAAGATACAATTTGACATTAATATACAGCTTGTCGGACCCGATGCCAACGGACGAGAAAAGCCTCGGAAATGCACTGATTGAAGTAAACGATTATGATCCCAATGAATTTGACTATTTTCTGTATCAAGTAAACCTGCGGACGATTAATTATGTAATAATTACAATCCACCTACCAGTGGGGTTGCCACTTTCAAGTCACCATTTGACTTGAAAATTTGGTGTGCCTTCCTGGCCAGCGTGATCACAGTGACGGGATTCCTAACTTTTGCGGTAAATCAGGGAAGTAGCTGCATATCATGTCCTGCTTTGATGATCAACAAACTGATAACAGTAGCGTTTATCTTTCTTGGCCAAGTAGGCGATAGCTCTGGAAGATCCTACCGGAAAGCAAATGTGGCATTCGTCATACTCATTTTATGGTTATTTGGAAATCTCTTTCTTATGGTAAATTACTATCAAGGGTCTATATATTCTTGCCTTGCTGTTCTATACCCACCCCAAATCCCTCGAGGAGTTGAGGAGCTTACTACTTTGGATATTCGTCTCATCGCTGTGGATACCTACTCAACACCACACGGATCCAGACACACATATCTTCAAACAGACATTATCCCACAATGAATCAACAGTTCAGACCAGAATCCAAAATTTATTAAGGTCTTAACAAAATTGCAATCTAAGCTTTTGGCTATCATTGATAAGCCAGTGTTATCAATGTACCTCAAAATTGTGCTTGAAAATTCAAAGCGTACCCACCCTATGCTCGGATTATTCATGTTTACAGACCTTCACAAAACTCTCTTGAGATTAATTAAGTATCAAGGAAATCGCCATATTGCCGAGTATAAGGATTATTATTAACGCACCCAGGAAAATACTGAAAAGTACCCAGTAAAGTATTTAAAATCAATAATACTGAATGTTGCCCAGGCAAATTTTTTGATGCACCCAATATTAAACCAGAAATGCCCTATAATATTGTGACATATAAAAGTGATAACGACTTGGGTATTAAAAACATGAATTAGCAATTTATTTCCTCCACATTATTCAAAAATAAATTTTTACATAGTAATCAATGCCTTCTTAGCTTTGGTAGGGCGTCCAGGCCCACGTGGAGTCCCTATTGGAATCGTTTTGGCTTCTGGGCACACTTCGTATAATTTGTTTATAATCGCGATACCAATTAAGTGCTTACATACATAAATTTTTAAGAAAATTGGACACGAGCATGATGATTTAATCCATCGATCGGTATTAAATTGAACTAGCCAAAGCCTGTTTATACACATCTTGTACGTATCAAAAGTTTTCCAACTGCGTCGCTCCCTAAGCCGCAGATATTTATTGACATCGTCCTCCTTCAGTTTTGGTTGATTCGCTGCTGAAATAAAATATGTAGTCGAATTGCTATCATGGGTCCTATATTTGATGTCCGGTTTTTTTTGGACCCAGTTAAAAGCAGAGGTCTGCAATGCGAGTGACAATGATGGTTCTTGATGAAAAATTTTCGAGTCAGGTAATCCTGGTATTCGCTCCTTCGACCAGATTTCCACTTGATTAGTCATGTATTGAATTAATTGACCAATCGATAGTCTCTCCCGGGATGTACCTTGTCGTTTTATCCATGCATTTGTGGACTCGAGCCCATTGTTTGTACTTGGATATCCAATACAATATCCCTCATACCATCCATCACGGGCGTCAAGGTGTTCCTCTTTGAAGTAAGTAAGGAATTCTGTTAAAATATTCTCTGGTCTGAATTTTTTTTTAAATAACTCCTTGGCAGCTTTGAAATCTCCGGGCATCTGGCAAGTTGGAGTTCGTTGACATCTCCTCTCATTATTTTCCACAACTCTACAACAACAATCAATTGTAATTGTAATCCGACAGTAACGCAAATAAATATGCAGCGATAAATAAATAGAGTATGATGACAAATGGCTAGTGAACAAACTTTTTGTTCATTTCTGAACAAAATCTACTAAAGGCTAATTGGGCTATCTATTAGATAGCCCAATATCAACCGTTAAGTAACTTATGAAGGCCAATATGTATTAGCATATCATATAAGATTGTATAAGACATTATTGGGCATTTTAGGTTTTATATTGGGGTCATAAATGAATTTGTCTGGGTGAAGTTCAATATTATGGGTTTTAACTATTTTCCTGGGTACTTTTCAGTATTTTCTAGGGTGCGTTAATTGGAACCCCGAGTATAATGGCGATTCCCCATTTGTTGTGATTCTTTTCAGTATTGGAGATAAGTCTGTATTCACTCCATATTTGGCGAATGGTTTAAGACGAATGTCCGAGTCCGGGCTGACTAAATTGTGGATTGGTAGGAATCACATTCCTGGAATTTTACGAAAAAAGAAAACTTTGCTGGGTAAATATTTTGAGGCTATGCAAGACTTGTTTGGAAATGTACGTAAGCCGCCCACATTTCATGAGTCGAATACTGTCTCCCTAGAACTAATGCTGCCTGCTTTCCAACTCTGTGCAGTTGTAATAGCCTGTAGGGTGGTTGGTCTCGCCACAGAACGTCTGAATTTGTTCACCCATTTGCTAACAGGTATGGTTAGTTTCACCAAGCCATTGATTTACTTTAGGGATATATGTAATATTGTCGGAACCCGGGACGTGATGCATGCATTGAACAAAGTAAGAGGCGCAGTGAAGTTATAAAATATGCATGAGGACATATATCTGTATGATTTATTTTTATTCATTTAGATACAGGTATGTATTAAATATTTTAAATATTGCCCCTATGTTTTGATGTTTCGCAGCTATATTGTTGCAAATTGTTCATTTGCAACTATTCTGATCTTAGCATGAAAAGTATTCATAAGATAAGCAAAATAAGAAAATCGACAAGTATAAGCTTTATGTGCTAATTTAAAAATATTTGCAAAATTTACATATACATAAGCCAACATAAACAGTAGCAAAAGATTTCTCATTAATACAAAACGCATCAATATTACTCACTACATGATGAGACCCGTTCTAATTAAATTTGCCAATTATTTGAAAATTACTATGAAGCTTTCTGCACTAAACTTTATGGGGGCCGCAAAACTCAGCCAGAGTGAATGATAATAAAATGTTCTTGCATATCTACTGATGCAATTTGGAAGGTGCTTTGCTAATCACTTTATCATTTAATGAGCTGGCTTATCGTGCAAATTGAACATATTTTATGAGTGCCATAACGAATTGCGTATTATATGAGACCTGTGTTTTGTACAATTAGCATAAACAATGAGGAGAGGATATCAAACAGGCCACTCAAAATAACGTAGGGTAATCACCATGCAAAATGAATGGCTACAATGCTTACCTTGTTGGTTAAATTTTGTGTCAAATTGTGATCATCATAAATATAAGTAGTATGAAATTTGTGAATGGCACTATCTGCCAATGCTCACGTTTATTGGAGTTATGTATTTGCATAAAAAGAGGAGAAAACGCACCAAAAGTACGGAAAATTTTTCAATTTCCAAATTTGCTGCGAATTTTTCCCGCTTCGGATGCAAATATCTCCGCCAAATTTGCACATTGGCAGATAGTTCCATTTGCAAATTTCATATGTATGATCGATTGACACTACATACATAGTGGTTTTGTCCAAATCTGTAAGCATGCGTTGGGAACTTGGGAACTCCATTGTACGTTAAACCTTGATACCAAATTGGTATTGATCCGGAGATTTAAAAAAACAAATTGATACATTACGGTTATAACTTAATACCAACAGGGATTACATTTTCTACCAGATTCACATATTTACTACTGCGTCATTTCTTCATTTTTTAAGAATGGTGTAACTTCCAATGTACCCCTTTGGCTTTTAATTAATTATCACATCCTTCAATTAATGGTTGAATGTATTCTATATGTTTGTGCCACCGGCGAACATAATTATTTGCAACAAATGTATTCCTTATCACTGTTTCATTCCGGAGGATTAGACACGTCACTTCCTCAATGATTAATTTGTTACGATTGATAAGATAAAGTAATTAACATTGACCTGATAAATGAAACGTTTTAGTGTCGCTGTATTGTTCATTTATTTCATTTGCATACGGTGGTCAGAGTATATGCATATTTTCTAAAAAAAATCCAAGGAAGGCTTGGAATGGATAAAATTGTAGTAAAAGTTTTGAACACTATACCCCTACATGAAGCTGCGAAACGGTTGAATGCTACCGACATAGCGGCAAATCTTGAAAATGGAGGTGATCCAAATCTCAAGAATTCTGCGGGAAATACGGCGCTTCACGTAGTACTGAATAATGGTATGGTATAAATTAAATTTGAATTAATTAATTAATTGAATCATAATTAATTTGAATATGACAGAATTTCAAGGTCATTTCGACGAGGGTAAGGTGACTGATTGCGTCACAGTTTTGCTTAGGGGTGGAGCAGATCACAGAATTATAGGACGTCATAACTTAACCCCGTTGGAACTCGCGATTAAAAATAAATTACATGCAAGTATCAAGTTGCTCCTGGAGGAAGGTGCTAGCTGTGTGGGAAGGTAAGTTTCCTAGTAGTTAGAAGTTGGAAAATTAAAGTTGGCAAAAACTTGATAATGCCCCGTGGAAATGAATGAATTCTTATTTGAATTGCGCGGCATTCTTTGCACAAAAACATTTCAATGTCTAATGTACTACGCAAAAAATATTAACAAAACCGCAACTAAAAATTTCATATACGATCATGTCATGTAAAATTGACGGCGTCCGTAGTTAAGGGTCGATTGTATTCGGATTTTAAGTTTGAATTGTTGTGTCTCAACTTTCCCTTCTTCCATATATTCATCCCCGTGTGTTAATAACAATACGAAGATTTTAATGCAAAAATCGCTAATTTTTAGGTTTACAAAGTTACGACTGTAGAATTCTGAATTTATAATAAATATAAAATAATAATAAATAAAATAAATAAAATAAAATAAATATAAAATAGATAAAAAATAATCAGTAAAAACTAAATATTTTCTGATTGAAGAAAAAAATCAAAATCCTAGACTCCTAGGTATTGTGAAAAACCCACGGAGATGAATAGATTCCAAAATCGCCATTTGAATATATGGAAGAAGAAGGAAAAGTTGATACAACAATTCAAATTCATTCAAACTCAAAACCCGCATACAGGTACACGCGAAATTTTACCCTCATGCATAACCGCGCCGTTATCATGATTGACTCCCGCGTATTTTAATTTACAACAGGATATTTTTTGCATCCTGGTTTAAATTAATTCTTATTTATTGATTAGATGGGAAATATTTAGATACATATGTTGTGATTATTAAAACCTGCTCAATATTTTAGCCTTGTCGCGGAATTACCAGAAGTTGTCAAGGATCGATTGGATGAAGGAATTTCAGCGGCGAAAGATGCAAAGGGTACCGACTGCATCACCCTTGACTGGAGGTAAATTAAGAATTTTTTGGGTTAATCAGGGCTTTTTAATTAGCCACATTTATAATTAATTAGTAATTGATAATCAGGAGGAAAATATTTCGTCTAATTAATTGATAATTAGTAATTAAACTCAGGTTGCTAATTAATCTAATTAATTAGCTAATTAATTAGAACATTGGCCAACTGATTATTAGGTTTTAGTCAGTTTCTTGTTAATTAGTAATTAAAATCAGACTCGGTAGTACTAGTTAAGGTTAATTAGTAACTAATAATTAGTTTAAACATGCTATTTAATCATATAATTAATTAGATTCACTAATTAATTAGAAAGTCCTGGGGTTAATGTAATTGATTACTTTTATAATTTATGCAGACCTGTGCTCGGGTACAATGAGAATGTAGTGGACAAAAACGAAAAAAACTTGAACAAGAAGATGCCATCAGAAAGTAAATTTCTGTACCAAGTCCTCACCGCAGATATGAAGAATTCTTCAATCAAGGAAGAAATTATAAATCATCCGTTAGTGATGGCTTATCTGTTTCTGAAAACTGCTAGGGTGCCGAAACGTTACTATTTTATTCAGTTGTTCGAGGTAATCATATGCTATTTTGGGTTAATTTCTATTTACACACGTTTAAAAAAATATTGAGCATCATCTATCAGAATTTTTTATCATCAGTCAACATAAACCCTTTGTGTGCTTACCGGCTCATGTGGGGTATTATAAGACTGAGCGCAAAACTTAAACCCGTACACAATTTTCATAAATGGTTTTTCTTAAATTGGTACACAGCATATCACAATTAATTTATGAATATACAAGTTGAGTAACCCGTCTAGACGGGTTTGGCGTAAGTCAAGCCCTAAAATTTCATGAAATTTCATTTAAAGGTCAAATTGCATATATAAACCAATTTGAATTGAAATTTAGCCCAGAATTCAATGGTGACTCTCCGTTTTAACGTAAAATGTCACGAAAGGTCACTTATGGGTCGCTAAAAGGTCATCAACAGTTCAATTTGATACACCTGTTGAAAATACGTCAGACATGTCAATTTTAACAGATTTTGAACGGGCAAACACAAAATTGTGTTAAATTTGACGGATAACAAACAGCTTGGTTACATTCGTTGTTACGGTTTATTAATTTGTTTTTTATTTAGGTCATTTACATAATATTGATGGCCGTCTTCATCTACATTCTTTACTTCAACCGGTGTCCGATTCAGCTTGAAGACAAGCTTGACGCCCCTGAAGAAGACGACCCCAGCTCTACTACACCCCCAGAGATTGAACTAGAAAAATGCAACATAAATGTTGGCACGGTTATTTTGTGCTATATTATTCTCACTTTCACCCTGGCATTCGGTCTGAGGGATGCCTTCTTGCTGTATCGAGTGGGTGTCCGACACCTTTTGGAGTGGAGAGATTGGGTGTGGAGATTGTCACTTTTGGTTAATTTGCCTGTCCTCTGGCCAGCCGTTGTTACATCGGACGACTACGAATTGACCTACAATTATCCCTTGTGCAGTGTAAATTTGAATTTAAAGATGGCATACAATTAATCGCCCCTCTAAATAATTTGATTTTTCCCCCCTAATTAGTCGAAAATTGCCATAATTTATTTTACCCTCGCGTAATTTTTCTGCCCCACTATTAAAATTACGTGGGGGAAAAATCAACTATGCAAATTTAAGATCAAATAGGAGGTGAAATTTAACCGTTTAAGGGGCCGAAAAAAATTACGCCTCTAAATATAGGCGGGATTTCAAAATATTTGAAAAATTTTATCCTGTATTGTTTACAGATTGCTATCCTCCTCCTTTCTTTACACTCTTTGATTCAAATGGAAACTTTTAAATTGCTCTCGGTCTATGTAGAAATTCTCGTAACGGTATGAATTTTTAAAAGGGTGGTTGTTCATGGGGGTTAATTTTGTGTATTAAATTTTCAGAGTATGATAACCGTAGTGAAATTGATGTTGATGTTCTCCCCGGTGTATTTAGGATTCTATATGGGATTCAATTTAATGTTCTCCGATGTAAGTGTAAATTAAGGTGAATTGATGTCCATAATTAGAGCGGGTAGACCAGTGTCGTGGAGAAAATGAGTCTGAAAAATTCGCTTACTTGGGTAACGTAATTTATGGTCGTCTCCTATCATGTAACCTAGAAAAGATTTGACCCGATTAAAAATCGTATCCAATTTGACATAATTCTGCACAATGGTTTATGCAGAAAGAGTATGAACAATTCTGCAGAACACTTCTGACAGGTATATTCTGCAGAAATATTTAGCACAGTTATGCATAATTCTGCATATTTTGGGAACAAATTGTTTCGGCATATATTTTTCTGCATAAAATCCCTTAAATTATTCACCCGGGGATACACACAAAACGGCAGGCCTCGGTATTACCCTGATAAATATGCCGTTAATGGGTTTTATGTATTATGACACTTTTTTCAGGTAACTCGAGTTTTCACCTATCTTACCATGACAGTTGACGCAGGATCCGATAACTTTGAAGCAATTGGGGATGAAGCTAAACAAAATTCGTTCATGTTTGAGCTCATCTCGAAAGCTTACGTTTTAGCTTTTATCATCGTAATGTGTATCGGATTTATGAATTACGTTCTTGCCATGTCGATTGATGACGTGCAGGTAACATTTATTAAAAGCAAGTTACATTGTTTGAAGAGGATTATGAAGAATTATATTTTTTAGAGGTTGAAAAAGGATGCAAAAATTTCCCGTGCTGTGCGACAAATTCGCAATATTTTGCAGGTAGATCAGCGAAGCAGAAGTTTCCGATTGGTGAAGGGTGATCCAACAAAAGCGGAAAGGTATAATCATTAATGACTGAATAGTCTTATGGTATATTAAAAATTACGAAATTAATTTTCTAGCTATTTCTACACATACAAACCGGACGCAGACGACCAAGAATTACCGGATGAGGTTCGGCTGGAAATTGTAATGTTGTTAAAGCGGAAGAGGGACGGCTGAGAAGTTCGAAGCGGATATAATCTATTACAAATATTAATAACATTATTAGCTCACCCTACGTAACATAGAGAGTTATAGAATTTATCTTGTCCGTTTGGCTGTGAACGATCTTTTTACATCAATAATAAAATGCTGCTAATAAAATGATGCTAATAAAAAATGCACATGCCCACTATTGAATACCTTAGTGGTACCATTGGTATCGAACAATCGAATGGATTTTTAATTAGTATCAATTGACGTAAAAATATTGTTAACAGGCAGACGGACAGAGAAGAGGAATTCAATCTCTCATCCTATGGGCTAATAATGTGAACTACATATTTATGTAACATGTGTGCAATTATTTATTTTAGGCTTTGATAAACTAAATAAAAAATATTGTTTGACCTTACATAAACCTTTATCAGATAATAAATATTACGCGGAAAAAATTCCTAAATACATACATTCTCTGGAAAGCAAGATAAACAGAAGTTGAAGTGATGCTAAATATGTGTTTTTCGGAATCGATATTATTTTACCCGTATCATTGTCGCACTTCTACCCATTTCGAATTTGAAATATTCTTTTATTTATGTACAAATTCTTACACAATAAAGATGTAAGACTCTAAAATATAATAATAGCCGTCCACTATTCCATACAATTATTTTTCTACTCTCCCAAACTTGTGCCTAATTTATTGAAATGTCCATAACTAATCAAACCTTCATGTTGGGTAATATCTTATAGTTAATATAGCATTTCATTACCCGTATCTACTTCACCCAAAATAAATATACCTTTAGCAACATTTTACATTTTACTTTACATTTTGCAATGTTTGTCATTTACTTAATAGATAATTACATTACCAATTTGTTGCCGTCTACCTAACCCAAGTTATCAAACCCTGCTTAGCAATTCTCTAAATATATCCAAGGTCTTGTAATTTAGCTTCGCTGAGCCCGAGCCAATGCTTTAATGGATATGAAGGTGTCACTCTCTATGGCTAATAATTTTTGAATTTCGACATATCCCATCTTTTTCCAAGAAATTAACAGCACCTATGCCAAATTTTAGCTTTATTATACTACTTTGAGAAAATTAGAATGGATCACCCATACAGGGTTTGGAAAACCCCGGGGTTTTTGTAGAAAAACCCAACCCCTGGGGTTTTTCCGGGGTTTTTGGGGTTTTTGTGGGTTTTTGGGTTTTTGTGGGTTTTTGTGGGTTTTTGTAGATTTTGGGGCAGGTTGAACCAGAATTCCTAAAATTATATATTAGAGATAAACTAATTTTATATACAATTTTAACATGCAATTTTAACCGTTATCATTGATTTGGACTGTTACATCGAAAATTTATGTTTGACATGTAAATCTGGATATATGCAATGATATTTGGAAATTCAAGTCGCAAATGAAGATTCTCAAAATTTCAAGATGAAGTAGAAAAGTTAATTAGCATTGATCTACGTTGTAGTTTAAGGGATTTTGTTTCAATCTACCTCAAAATCCTACAAAAACCCCGGAAAAACCCACAAAAACCCACAAAAACCCGCAAAAACCCCATTAAGCATTAGGGTTTTTCCGGAGATTTGATACCCCAAAAACCCACAAAAACCCCAAAAACCCCAACCCACAAAAACCCGGGGTAGCGAACCCTGCACCCATATCAGGTCTCCCCTGAGTAAAATTGGCTAAACTTACTTTACATTTATACGTTTATTAGTAATTATTAATTTTAGTTTTTCCTCCATGCAAAATTTGATTGGATGATTCATATCTCATATTCGTTAATTATTTTTCATTGGCGAACTTTATATGCGAGTTCAGCCCTATACGATTAGATATTTCGAGTCTCCTTCATCCTTAACTCCCACCGGTCGACCGCGGTCGGCTATTTTGTTCATATTCAATAAAACCGATTCCTCAGTCGGCATGTTTTAAGTTGATTTCACCAATGTTATCGCGAGACAGAAAAACAGATGGATAACCTGGATACATAAGGTCTTAGTTGGGTTAAAAACTAACCGCATACATAATCGTAGCTACATAATATTGTAGTGACCATTTCATATTTTTTATCATTTCTAGCTTACCGAAAGTCTCTTAGTAAGTATGTCAAACAAGCGGACAATCTTTATTTTCATACCCTCCCCCCAAAATTATTTGGTTTCCCCCGGATTATGGGGAATTTTGGGGACATGGTCATCCGTATTTCGACCTTTGCACTCATACCGAGTTTTTTCCCAGAAGAGAAAAATACATATTGAACAGTGTTCCCCTTTAAAGTCAAAATTCTTAAAAGTTCCCTTTCTTTTGACCACTTCATTAAGTTTTACAACTTTCCTTCTCCTTTTTTACACGTTATATTTCCATCGAGCAGAAGTCGAATACAGTCAGGTAGATATGGTGAGGACCTTGGTCATGTTTTACGTCACCCTTATCCTCCCAGTAATTCTGCCAAGTAGTTTCGTCATCGCTTTCCGACCGGATTCAATGTGTCAAACGTTAAACCAAATTGACGGGTTTTATAGAAGAATTATTGGTAACTATTTCATAAATGGTTAAGTCATACAGAAGTGTGGTGACGATTATCACCAAAAAGTAGACGTATATGACGTTACCGTCAAATTGTCACCGCCTGGTTATAATGTGTTGAAACTGGTGAAAAAATTATAAGATTTCCGTGACAAGTTTAAATATAACTAGTTGTGGTAAGTTATTAACTTACAGTAACTTGAACAGGTATAACTTAAAGTTATAACCATACCTGTTCACTTTCATTCATTTAACTGATTATGAAGGTGAATGATAGTGAACGAAAATGAATTTCTTTTCATCTGAATGAAAATGGGTGAAAGATTCCCAGTTTAAGATGAATGACTCTGAATGAAAGAATTTCTCACTCATTTCATTTTTCACCCTATTCTTAACACATGGGGCGAAGTAAAAAATGAAATCCGATCAACTGAAATGAAATGAGTTTGAATGAAAATCTGCAGTCAAAAATCAGTATAACTGAACTTTGAATGAAAACAAAATTTTTGAACAGTAATGAATGTATTACAACTGGTGAAAAATTTATAAGATTTCGGTGATAGGTTTAAATATAACCAGTTTATGTAAGTTATAAATAGTCGGTTACAATTTCATACATACCTATGTATATGTAAACATTCTGGTGACAATCGTCACCACACTTCTCGAGTATAATAATTTATAAATATGTGTTAACTTTTCCTAATTTACTCTTCCCTTCAGACTTAGGAAAAATTCGACATGAACTTCCCCTCAATAAAAAGCTGGAGATGGCTTTGCGCACCTTTATTCAAACATGTCTCTTCATCCCACCCGTCCTAGTACTCCCCGTGGTCTGGCTGGATATAGACCCCTTACGAATTCTTAGCCATGTTTTGGTTTTCCATTGTTCAAATTTTGTCATGATTTCGGTACGAATTATCCTCCAAACAGTGATAGCGTTTGAAGTTCTTAAATCCCTCTGTTGCTTGGCTACCTTTGCATTGCTACTTTTATCGGGAACTAATAACATAATTGCGCGGGCTAGAAAAGTTTTGGGAGAATCGCCAAATATTTCTCCAGCCAGAGTTATAAAAATTTATAAAGAATTACAAATTTGGAATGGTTATTATAACAATCAATTTTGTGATTTTATTGTGCCACCATTAATATTTTTTGGGATGTGTATCATCATTTTTGTCAATTATGTAACCATCAAATTACCCGGAAGTATTCCGCTCGCGTTGTATTGGACATACCCGTTGACAAGTACGGTAGGAATTTGCATCGTGGTGACACTTTTGCCACAAGGTGCCTCAATCTGGGGAGGTTCGCTTAGTTTTGTGAGGTTTTTGAAGGGAAATTGTTACTCAAAGTATGAAGTGAGACTGGCTAGATCATTGACTAATGTGGCGATAAATGTGGGGCGTTTTGGAAAACTGCAGAAATCTTGGAACACTTCGATCGTATGGAATATTCTAAATTATACGATCAATTTATTGTTGACGTTTTAGCGATGACGCTTTTTCGGCTATATGACTCCGGCTGATTAAACATTGACTTTGTGTTATATCTAAAGTATAACTTGAGGGCAAATTAAAGATAAAATATGGAAGTAAATTATATTAATTTAATGTTGAACGCGGATTTCAAATTCTATTTCAATTCACGACTTAAATTTTGATAATGATTTTGAAGTGAATTTCTATTTATTCGCTCGGTTTACACTTTTTTCTGATTTGTAAAGTTGCTGATCAAAAATGCGAGTTGAAAATAATCTATTTCAAATATCCGTCTTATAATATATGCATACGTATCGTTCCATGTCAAGTTCTTTTATGAAAATAAATTTAATTTTGTGGTTATAATTAAATAATTGATCAGCATTAAGTCCGTAATTATAATTGGTTAATATGCGCAATATTTGTGCAACTTATCAACTATTTTCAGATGAAACGGAAGTGAGCTGTGGTTCATGTAGTTGTAATGTTAATTTCAGATGTAAAATCAAAATAATGTGGTAATAATTCGTTACCATGCGGAATGACTACCTACATATGATGTATTAGAAATTTATTATAAGGGGCCGTCTATAAATTACGTAACGCAAGAGGGGGGGAGGGGGGGTCATGGGAAGTGCGTTACGAATTGTTATGAAGGGGGTGGGGGTATAAAAAATTTGTTACGTAACACATTTTATAAACTGGACTAAAATTCGCCAAATATGATACGCCGAGCATATTGAATTCATGTCATCCAAAAGGTATCACAGTACCAGTGTACGCATGTAGTAAATATACATTTTTCATTAGTTTTCCAGGTGTAAATTGAGAAAAGGTTGCATTACAGTGGGGAATTTTAGGGCGGAACCGGTCAAGGAAGGGGGGGGGGTAACGAGTCCATCGTTCGTTCTGTTACCAAGAAATATACGAAAAAATCTAGTTTATTTTTACATAGATATGTACAACCAGATCAATTCATTTGCAAAAGTTTGCGGTCAAACTTTGACCTTAAATATCTCAAAATGGAGTAACCGAAATGATCTGGTTGTATAAGTAAAAATAAACTGGATTTTTGGCTCTATTTTGTGGTAACAGAATGAGCGATATCCCCCTTTCCTTTCATCGGTGCCGCCCCAAAATTCCGCACAATGCATT